GAAACCAATGCTTATAATTGTTCACATGAAGAAACCGAACACTTGTGAATACTTAGATTAATTGAATTTAGTATTAAGAAATCCCAATGTCAGTCAAAGACTGAACACTATAATGAGCGAGCCCTAGAGAGCTTGATCGAACGCTCGTATTAGGAAGTTTAACTTAAGGAGATAGAACGAGTGCCTAGTGTAAGACCAAACACTTGTTTAGGACGAACACTTAGTATGAGACCAAATGTTACTAAACTGAAATAGAAGAGGCTGGGTAATTATACTTCGATACTATTGGGATAGTGTTTACGAATAATTACAATATACAATTACATATATATTAAGATACTTAGATTTATAACGGAACACCAAGATACAACTATACTTGGCCGAACGCTCAAGCATAGTAGTTTGAAATGCAGACGCTCGTCCTTAATTAGGATTCTTCTCAAATGAAAGAATCCACTTCTAACCAAGTTTCCTAGAATTAACGAATGTACACTTTCTTAGGGAAATCATATCAGGATCATTTATATTCTAACTCATCTATTAACGTATAGTTTCATAACCTTATACATTCATATTTCATACCACCCAAACATAGAGACGTCATACATCATAACATAACTTTGTCATATTTTATTTCCACTCATTAAATAAACTAACGTTCATGTACTACAATCATATCAACCATCATACATTCAATTCATTCAATCAAATAACGAACGTTCAAACATTTCAACAGCATACAAATTAAATTAAATAAGCTTCCCTTACCTCTAAGCGTGAACGAACGTCCTAAGCGCAAAATTAAGGTTCGCCTAACTGAAGTTCCTTCTACCCTTACGTTTCAAAAATCCTTCCAACTAAAATCAAACAACAGAAACCCAAGATGGCTCAGACAGGACGAAACCATGCAACCAGAATTCGGTGTGCATGTACCAGATAACGAACAATTAACGAGAAGAAAACTTACCAACTCAGAATCCTAAACGGTTCGGTTCAATTTGAAGTTCTGGACGCCGGTAGTGTTTCTATGGTGCCTGAACAGTGATCGGAGAAAAGAAATGGTGAGTTTTGGTAGAGAGAAGGGAGAGTTTTCTAGAGAGAAGAAGGAGGAAATGAAAGATCATATTTTTGGAAGAAGAAGGGTGCATGCAGAGAGAGTGGGAAGGAGGTTTTAGAAAAATCATTTTTCTTCCCACGTAAAACGAGCGTCCGCTCTTCTGCTGACACCTGCATCCCACTATCTGATTTCAGATTCTCGTTTCTTGACACCTGGCGTCCGCGCAGAGGGTTTTAGGTGCGTTTTAAATGACTAACAGGAAGGTTTGGGTGCGTATTTATGAGGTCTGACAATACATGCTTTATTTATTTTTATTTGTTTTGATTTAAAAAGAAATCCTAAAATGTAAATAATTGACATTAAAAAATGTGTTTTAATTAAGCTTAAGAAATATTCATCCTACTCAGTTATTGTTTTCTTACCTTACTAGTTTAATATTTGAGAGAATGATGTTTTGGTACGGTACCAACAGTATATCAAGATCAAGAATGCACTAATTTTTTTATACATCAAATTTTGTTAAATTCAAAGAACATAATTACATTAATATTATCACTGAAAAAATCATTCCTGTTATAAATAGTTTTTTGGCATTAAATATTTTATGGCACAAGTCATTTTAAATGTCATTTTAGACTTTAGTCATGAAATTATTACAGGAATTATTTTATCTAATTAAATNAAATGAAAGAATCCACTTCTAACCAAGTTTCCTAGAATTAACGAATGTACACTTTCTTAGGGAAATCATATCAGGATCATTTATATTCTAACTCATCTATTAACGTATAGTTTCATAACCTTATACATTCATATTTCATACCACCCAAACATAGAGACGTCATACATCATAACATAACTTTGTCATATTTTATTTCCACTCATTAAATAAACTAACGTTCATGTACTACAATCATATCAACCATCATACATTCAATTCATTCAATCAAATAACGAACGTTCAAACATTTCAACAGCATACAAATTAAATTAAATAAGCTTCCCTTACCTCTAAGCGTGAACGAACGTCCTAAGCGCAAAATTAAGGTTCGCCTAACTGAAGTTCCTTCTACCCTTACGTTTCAAAAATCCTTCCAACTAAAATCAAACAACAGAAACCCAAGATGGCTCAGACAGGACGAAACCATGCAACCAGAATTCGGTGTGCATGTACCAGATAACGAACAATTAACGAGAAGAAAACTTACCAACTCAGAATCCTAAACGGTTCGGTTCAATTTGAAGTTCTGGACGCCGGTAGTGTTTCTATGGTGCCTGAACAGTGATCGGAGAAAAGAAATGGTGAGTTTTGGTAGAGAGAAGGGAGAGTTTTCTAGAGAGAAGAAGGAGGAAATGAAAGATCATATTTTTGGAAGAAGAAGGGTGCATGCAGAGAGAGTGGGAAGGAGGTTTTAGAAAAATCATTTTTCTTCCCACGTAAAACGAGCGTCCGCTCTTCTGCTGACACCTGCATCCCACTATCTGATTTCAGATTCTCGTTTCTTGACACCTGGCGTCCGCGCAGAGGGTTTTAGGTGCGTTTTAAATGACTAACAGGAAGGTTTGGGTGCGTATTTATGAGGTCTGACAATACATGCTTTATTTATTTTTATTTGTTTTGATTTAAAAAGAAATCCTAAAATGTAAATAATTGACATTAAAAAATGTGTTTTAATTAAGCTTAAGAAATATTCATCCTACTCAGTTATTGTTTTCTTACCTTACTAGTTTAATATATGAGAGAATGATGTTTTGGTACGGTACCAACAGTAAATCAAGATCAAGAATGCACTAATTTTTTTATACATCAAATTTTGTAAAATTCAAAGAACATAATTACATTAATATTATCACTGAAAAAATCATTCCTGTTATAAATAGTTTTTTGGCATTAAATATTTTATGGCACAAGTCATTTTAAATGTCATTTTAGACTTTAGTCATGAAATTATTACAGGAATTATTTTATCTAATTAAATTATAGACTTACTGAAATAAAATATTCACCTAATATGAATAATAATAAAATCTTTTACACTATGTTGCTACTAAATAAAAAATTATTCACCTCATCATAACATTTTTTTACCAAAAGCCATTAGTCTTATCATATAAACAATATTCTAAATGGAAATATATAACAAGATTTATGATGTTGTGTAAATCTTAACACCTAAATACTAATATAAGTAATAATAACATCTTTTATTATTCAATTAATCATAACATTTTTACCAAAAACCATTTCTAGTATTACAATATATGGTGTTGTAATCACTGAAAGTAAAATGAGCATGGAGTGACTATAAAATACTGAGATAAGTCCTGAGCAGCAAATTAAAGACTCAAAAATTGGAATAAAAACAGAAAAAGACAGAAACTGCATAGACCTCACTTTCGTATACTGAGTTTGCTCTGTTAAAACTCCAAAGATTGTGAAGTTGAATTTTTCTAGCAACAACATAGCTGCAGCATGTATATACTTGCATATTTTTTAGAAATAGTGATGGAAATGATGCGAGATGAATTAATATTCTGAATATCATGCTATCATTTGCTATACATTTCTGAATACTTCCTATCTTATCAATTGGAAATAATCACACTACTTGAAGAGTGTGTATACATATATTTATATATAAACAAGCACTAAGAATCTAATTGATAAAAGTCACCCGATATCATTAGTAGCAGCAAAACTCTGCTATGAAAAAAAAAGAAAAAGATCATCAAACTCTGCTTTGAGGCCTTAAGCAATTTCCCAGCACCCAAAAAAGCAAACTCTCGCCTCACACTTTAGAACATACAAACGAATACGAAAAAATATCAATGAAGCCATAGATCATAACAGCCATGATCTCCCCACACACTAAAAACAACCCTCTACATGAACTAGAATGTTTAAGACAGTTCGGTCAAGTTCTTTGCTGGAGGACGAAGAGCAACAGAGGAGCAATCTGAGCTACTGTATTTCTTGTAAACTGCCCTGAGCTTACTTTCTGGAGCAGTGGCATGAAGGTTGACCAGGATTTTGGCGCAATCCCTGGCACCAAAAACAAACAAAAGTCATTTCATTACTGTTCAAAAAAAAATACCCAGTTGCATGTTTTAAATATGTTCAAATATTAAATTTGGTGATCCAAAAAATATTAACCTCAGTTGCTCCTCAGAGTAGCCTGTGTAATGCTTCAAAGTGCTTGTCCAGAAAGGAGTCCTTTGAAGAGTACTTCGAGCCACAAGCACAGCAGAAGCAGCAATCAAAGAAGGGCAGTGCAAGACTACGGTAGGATAGTGCATCATAGCAAGTTCAGCAAGGAAAAACACCATATATTCCGTCTACATTGATGAAAATTAGGCACATTATTCATCACGGCATCCTAAAACAAAATAATGAGTTTAACAACATCCAACTACAAAGGAATATACCTCTTTATCAGATGGAGTTGAGGCTTTGATATACCGAACCAAGAAGACATACGGTGTGGGAACCGTTAAGTACCACTCAAGCTTCCTAAGGATTGTTTTCTCCATCAACAGCACTTGTTCACTGACATAAGCATTGTCTGATATGCACACAAAGTCATTAACCTGCATGCATACATCGGAAACAGACCATAAGTTGTGATATTCACAGTTGTTTTCTCAAAACATCCTCCATTACTCATAGATGGAAAGAATTCCACCTCTGGTGCCCATATCTCTTCATATTTTGAGGCTAGCAGCATGGAGCTGATGCCAACAAGCTGAAGTTCCCTTCTAGGCACGGCCTTCATGGACAGGAACCGATCAACAATGTTGAGGGTCAAGTAGAGAGTTTCTGGCATGAGCTCAAATTTTCTATGGACTTCTATCAACCAGTCCACAAGGATTGATCTCATCTTGGCATTAATATCTGGCTGCGAACCCATGTAATCATGCACACAGCCATCTTTCTGCTTCATCAGGATCAGATATGTTATTACAAGAACTCATGAGGAAAAATGAGGAGATAAACAAAGAAAAAACATAGAACTTTACCTCAGTATTTTTGTAAAATTCATATATATCATCAATATACTCCGCTGCTGCCAATTCATTGTCCGTATCAGTTGCATCAATGTTCAAGACCGGTTCCCTGGGGAGTCCACAAGCAGCCTAAGGTGGACAGTATG